CTATATCAACCCACGCGGTCTCATAGGATTTTAAATCTCCGTGTATACACTTGACCTCTAAATTCTCTCCCAAGCGTACGGCTTTTAAGTCTCGGACCACAGTCTTCCCACAAGCAGTGTCTATGAAAGCCTTTTTGGTTTCTCCATTAACAAGTGCCTCTACCTCCCATCCTGTTAGGACCTGCATGGTTCCTGCTTGCTGTCTGACCCACAAAAAGTCCATGTCTGGGCATTCTTGTGGAGGATGTCCTTCTTGGCCACACCCGAAGCACACGTCCTTTTTGTTGCATCTGGCGGGGTCCTCTAGGATCCTCGCATCCACCGTCACAGGGGGTAGGCTCCATCTCATCCCTCCAGGATTGAATGGGCTCCCTCTGCCTCCTCTCTGTATGTTTGCGTTCAGGACTCCACGTGGAGCCGCCCCGGGTGGACCTCCTGCCGCCATTTTGTCTCTTCCTTTCGTTTTCTCCCACCGGAGGGAGGAGCCTTCTCTCTCCCATAGTCTCCCGCATTACCGAAATCATCCACTAGGAGGACAATTTCCTCCTAATGTCTTAGGTAGGATGATTTTTCTGCACCCAAGCTCCTAGCATTACTGCTTCAAGTCGTCACTAACTGTTCCATCACGAGCCTATCTTAACAACTGCTCTTAGGTCTTTCCCTCTGGTTTCAGCCACCAAATTAAAATTTTCAGGGATACTGGCAAAAGAGAGGAAATATAGAGTCCATCCTCGTGAGCCCGGCTCCTATTTCTGCTTGGTTGCCATGCATGGAGGGGAGGGGGAGAAGGTGCCGTGGACAAGGTGATGATGGAAAGCAGTTTAAAACACTGTTTTTTTCATGGTACGTGTGCACTCACCCCAAGGCATAACCCGTGCTCATTAGATGTCGATGCCTTTCCCAGATGCAGACTTGTGCATGGTAGACAGCCATGGGAAGGCAAGGATCCTTCTTCCCTCGGCTGCTTTTCTTCCTTCTCGAGGATGGCGAGTTTATCCTCCACGGGTCCTCGACGACGCCGTGAGTATTTGGCCTTCAGCTTCTCCCCGACGGTCATGGCGCGCCGAGGTCCTCCTGAGGAGAATCAGGTCGACCCTGGGAAGGCGAGGAAGACACCTTTGCGCCTTTTCCTTCCCTGGAGAACTGCAGGCGACGACGAGCAGCCCGCCGGGCCCTGACGTGAGGGAAGCAACAGGTGGAGCTACAAGCGACACGTCCACGTCGGCTGTTGGCGAAGCAACAGTCGCGGTTCCCCGACCGGGAAGCCGCCTGCTTCCCCTCAGAAAGGGGGCGAACGGAGAGGGCGGGAGGAAAGGAGGCCTTCCTCCTCCCTTCGGGCCGCCGTCGCGTCGCGGGCCTCCTTCAAAAGTTCAACGTCCACTGCCCTGCGGGACACTGTTGACAGTGCAGACCAAGGGAGGCCGCTTCCTGTGGCGCCGAAAAGTCCCAGCACTTCAGCACGCACACACACCCACACCGGGAAAATAAAATCAGAGCTTGGAAACGTTTCTTTTCTAGACTATCATTCTGGCCCCGCGGGAATTCTGGGAGTGGTAGTCTGAAAAAAGGAACGTTTCCAAACGGTGGGTTTGTGAGAAGCAGCGATAACAGTCTAAGAAGGGCTGTCTCTGTACCAGTGGTAGGAAAATAACAAGCTACACCTTGGCCTCAGTGTGCCCTTGACCTAAATCCCTCTCTATTTAAAAACCATTGGATCCAGTTTTCTCACCATGTTCCTATTCTGAGACTGGGGGGATACCGTTTATTGGACCCCTAAAATTGTTTAATTTTTAGTAGTCCAATAAAAAGTATTACTCAATGCAAGTATTGATCTAAACACTTTTTTAAAAAGTTCCCATTTTTTAAAAGTACCCCGCCCCTCTAGACATGGTCTAGAGGGGTGGGGTATACATTTAATTAAAAAAAATTTTTTGTTCATACAAACATTCTGATACTCCTCATTTGTTCATAATAAGCAAAACTGGCCTATTTGATTTGCCTAAAATAGGTCACACCAGTCTCTTTGAACAATTGTTATTTTATTTTGTAGCCACTTGAAGTCACATGGGACAGACGAAAACCAATATAAAAATTAAAACCAGAGCAGGGAAGGAGAACCCATTCAAAGAACAGTAATATCCTTCACTGAGAAGCGGTCTCTTCCAGAACCAAGCTGGACAAGGAGCAGGAGAAACCTCCATGGGGGAACCTTTGCCAGAGCAGAAAGAGTTGTGAATAATATTTGCCCGATTTCAAGGTTAATTTGTCCAAGTTTCTGTTCAGTAGACCTGCTGTGCTTCCAGACGACGCAGGCTGATCGCCTGGCGAAAGCCTCATTCATGATTTTTCACAGGAGACATAAACCTGTCCAGCAGAGCAAGCTTCTGTTCAGTAGACCTGCTCTGCTTCCAGAGGACGCAGGCTGATCGCGTGGTGAAAGCCTCATTCATGATTTTTCACAGGAGGCATAAACATAATCCTTTTGCAGTCTCCCGTCTTTCCCCACTACTGCTTCCCCCCATGCCAGAAAAACATCTCCTTTAAGATGGCAACAAACAGCCAAATGACCACCCAACGTGTTTTGCTGTTAGGAGCCCTCTGTTCAGAAGCACCAGGAACTGCTCAGAAAACAGATATACGGAGGTTGGTGTTCTCCCTTCAAAAGACAAAACAGGGAGACAAACAGTCTTTCCAGACAATTAAGCTCTCAAGAATGTAAAAAGCCAGGCTGCTCTTTAAGGGCTCCCATCCTGTCCACTATGGATAACAGGCAAGGAACATTCATGCCACAGGATTCCTCTAGCACCATAAAGGTAAAGGTTCCCCTTGACAATTTTTGTCCAGTCGTGTTCGACTCTAGGGGGCGGTGCTCATCCCTGTTTCCAAGCCATAGAGCCAGCGTTTTGTCCGAAGACAATCTTCCGTGGTCACATGGCCAGTGCAACTTAAACACGGAACGCTGTTACCTTCCCACCGAGGTGGTCCCTATTTATCTACTTGCATTTGCATGCTTTCGAAGCGCTAGGTTGGCGGGAGCTGGGACAAGCAACAGGCGCTCACTCCATCACATGGATTCGATCTTACAACTGCTTGGTCTTCTGACCCTGCAGCACAGGCTTATGCGGTTTAGCCCACAGCGCCCCCACGTCTAGCACCATAGCAAGACCCTAATGAAAAGGTGGACATCCTCGCTGGGCTCAAGCATTCTTCCTTCCACTTCTGATTTGAGTCGAAAGAACCAAGGAAAATGTGGGTACCCTATAGGGTAGGTTGTGAAGGAGCACAATTTGTACCACCGCGCACCAATCTTCCCCAACAGGTTTCCTTTGTGAGGGTGTGCTCGTTACGACAAATGACCTTGCCAGTCCTACTTTGAAATAGTACTTTACATTCCCTTTCCCATTGATCCTTATGGCCAGCCATTTTTGCGCCCGATATCTGCCCTCATTCCTACTGCAGCCCGACATGCTGGGACCTGCAGGGACAGAAAAGGAGAGCTCTGTGCAGAATAGCAGTACCCTCACAAATCAGTTGGCATGGCCTCTGCCACAAGCCAGCCAGGCACCAAATGTCCAGTTTTGAGGGCCCCTCAGAATCCCAAACCTCGGGGGTCTCCAGTCTCTGATGGCCACTTGTCACATCCCGATTCATCCTTCCGCTGCTTTAGGAGGCCGCCTTATTAGGCCACCTAAAGGTTGGGACAGATTGATCACACCTGCCTCTCCATACTACCCAACACTTCTTCATTTGTATGTTTCTATTTTGCCTTGCATACTAAGATTTCGGGGAGGAGCACAACAATAAAATCAATACAAAACAATTCAGCATGTTAAAGCCTTTTAAACAACGTGCATACATTAAAACCAACAACAATAAACCGCTCTCTGCAGCGGCTGACATCATGTTTGCAGCAAAATGATATGGAATTTGGATTTTATTTCAAGCTCAAGGAATTCTGTAGGCTTGTTGAGAACTATGGGTGACTCTCACCCATCTCTCAAGCTCATGAGGAGTTCCCACCACCACCACATGTACGTACGTAGTGCATTATAAAATCAAGTATTTTCCATAGGGTTCATTAACAGGGATATTGTCTGGCAGTATGCGTTGTCTGGTTTCTCATAAGATACGTGAAATGACTAAAATGTATTACACACATGGAACACATATAGGGCTTATGTCCAGTGGGGATATGCAAATACTACCTAAATATTGAACTCCAAAACTTTCTCTTGCTCTCCAGAGACTTCTCCTTCAGTTTGGGCTCCCTAGTTACCTCTCCAAGCAAAGCATATCTGGCACCTGAATGGACTGTTCACTATGAGAACTCTCTGGTGTTTTACAGGTTTGAAGTAAAATACTGTATATACCATGCCATTGGCGTTTTCACATTTATTCCTCTGTCTGGACATCTTGATACATCGTACAGTTTGAAATCCTAGCAAAACATTTCCCACTCTCCTGTTATTTACAGTGGTGCCCCGCTTGACGATTACCTCGTTAGATGAGGAAATTGCTTAACGATGAAGTTTTTGCGATTGCAAAACAATGTTTTAAATGAGAAAAATCGCTTCACAGTGATCGGTTCCCTGCTTTGGGAACCGATGTTTCGCTTTACGAGGATCAGAAAACAGCTGATTGTCAGGTTTCAAAATGGCCACCCACTGTTTAAAATGGCTCCCCGCTGTGCTTAGGATGGATTCCTCGCATTACAGGCACCAGAAAATGGCCACCCTATGGAGGATCTTCGCTGGTCGCTGAGGCATTTCGCCCATTGGAACGCATTGAGCAGTTTTAATGCATTTCAATGGGCTTTTTCATTTCACTTGACAAGGATTTCACTTAACAGAGATTTGAACAGAACAGATTATCCTCAACAAGCGAGGCACCACTGTATATGGTTTCCTGCCTACATGGACTCTGGTGCTTGACAAGGAAGGAATTGGAAACAAACCATTTCCCACACTCCTGGCATTTCCACAGATCTTCTTGTGTGGAACACCTGGTGCTTCAGAAGGTGCGAATTCTGAGCAAAAGATTTTCCACACTCATCACACTTATATGGTTTCTCCCCTGTGTGCAGTCTCTCATGCCTTGCAAGCTGTGACTTCTGAGCAAAACATTTATCACAGTCTTGGCATTTGTAGGGTTTCTCGCCTGTGTGGATTCGCTGATGGATTACAAGAACTGAACTGGAAGCAAAACATTTCCCACACTCCTGGCATCTGTAAGGTTTCTCACCTGTGTGGACTCTCTGGTGGGTCAAGAGCTGTGAATTGCGAGCAAAACATTTGTCACAATCCTGGCATTTGTATGGTCTCTCCCCTGTATGGACAATCTGGTGATTTACAAGAATGGAACTGGAAGCAAAACACTTCTCACACTCCTGGCATTTGTATGGTTTCTCTCCTGTGTGGATTCTTTCATGTTTGTTGAGATTTGAAATTTGAGCAAAACATTTCCCACAATTCTCACATGTGTATGGTTTCTCGCCTGTATGGATTGCCTGATGTCTCACAAGAACAGAGCCAGAAGAAAAACATAACCTGCACTCCTGGCATTGATATAGCTTCTCTCCTGTGTGGACTGCCTTATGCTTCACAAGCTGTGATTTCTTCAGAAAACATTTTTCACACTCTTGGCATTTGAATGGTTTGTCTCCTCTGTGGACCTTCTCATGGTTCACAAGTTCTGCCTTGCGAGGAAAACATTTTCCACACTCCTGGCATCTGTTTGGTCTCTCTCGCGTGTGGACTCTCAGGTGGCTCACAAGGTCTGAATTGTAAGCAAAACATTTTCCACACTCCTGGCATTTGTACGGAGCCTCTCCTCTGTGAACCTTTTGATGCTTGAGAAGATTGACTCTCCAAGCAAAACAATTACCACTCTCCTCACATTTGAACGGTTTCTCTCCTGTGTGGACTCTCTGGTGGCTCAGAAGGACTGAACTGGAGCCAAAGCATTTCCCACACTCCTGGCATTTAAATGGCTTCTCCCCTGTGTGGACTCTCTCATGCACCACGAGGCTTGAAATCTGAGCAAAAGATTTTCCACACTCTTGGCATTTGTATGGTTTCTCTCTTGTATGCACCCTCTGGTGTTTCACGAGATCTGCCTTGTAAGCAAAAGATTTTTCACATTCTTGGCATCTGTATGGTTTCTCCCCTGTGTGGACCCTCTGGTGTTTTACAAGAATTGAACTGGAGGCAAAACATTTCCCACATTCCTGGCATTTGTATGTTTTTTCTCCTGTGTGGACTTTTTCATGGCTCATAAGGTGTGAACTGTGAGCAAAACACTTTCCACACTCCTGACATCTGTACGGTTTCTCTCCTGTGTGAACCACCTGATGAGTCACAAGATGGGAATTCTGAGCAAATGATTTCCCGCATTCCTGGCATTTGTATGGTTTCTCACCTGTATGTACTCTCTGGTGCTTCACAAGGTCAGATTTATAAGCAAAGCACTTTCCGCACTCCTCACATTCATAAGGTTTCTGTTTTGTATGGACTGCCTGATGCGTCACCAGATGTGAATTCTGAGAAAAGCACTTCCCACACTCCTCACATTTGTATGGTTTCTCTCCTGTGTGGACTGCCTGATGAGTCACAAGGTTTGAATTCTGAGAAAAGCATTTTCCACACTCCTCACATTTGTATGGTTTCTCTCCTGTATGGACCGCCTGGTGCCTCATAACGTTTGAAAGGTGACCAAAACATTTTCCACACTCTTGGCATCTGTACCGCTTTGTTTCTCCTTGGACTTTCTGGTGGCCTGTAAGTGGCTCACACTGGCGAGACATTTCACATTTAAAGGGTTTACTTCTAATGTGGTTCCTCTTGTGAAGTGTAAATGCGACCTTTTGAGCAAACTGTGCCCCACACATGGTGCATTTGTAGGGTTTCTCTCTATCACAGAGTTCTTCTGCATGGGTTTTCTGGTGTCTGTCCAGACCCACACTGTGTGTAAAACATTTCCCACCCTTGGTGCACATTTTTGTTTTCCAGCAGTTATCTATTGCAAAAGAAGGAAAGAACAGAAAATATTAAATTGCGATGGTCAAATAGAAGGACCCTAAGTAGCATGAAAGGGGCATTTAATCATGAAGATCCTGAAATAAAGGGAAGAATAAATTCTGTGACCTTATTTTCCTTATTGGACTAGCTGGGAAAATTCCTAAGAAATTTCTAGCTTACCTCTTACAAAACAGTACAAGGATTTTTGATATAAAAAGTCAACCAAAATGCTGTGAGGACGCTGCGGAGAAGACTGTGCTCCTTTGTGCTTTGGGGCTGCAACCCCCAGAATGCGACACTGATTCCTCAGCCAGAATTCTGGGAGCTAGAGACCACAAACATAGATCTGCAGACCTCTGGATTCTGCCCCCCACCCAGGAAGGGCTTGGGGGTCATTTGCCACCAATGCCACTGTGCTCTGATCATTTTGCTCTTCAGTCAAGCACTGTTGCTGTCGCATGACAAACTAGTAGAGGCCAGGCCTTCCTGGGCATGGGAGTTGTTATTTCTCTGCCTATTAGGCTCTATGTTGTTGTTGTTTAGTCGTGTCCGACTCTTCGTGACCCCATGGACCAGAGAACGCCAGGCCCTCCTGTCTTCCACTGCCTCCCGGAGTTGGGTCAAATTCATGTTGGTTGCTTCGATGACACTGTCCAACCATCTCATAGATGAATACATAGAGTATTAGTGCCCTCTATAGAGCTAATTAAGCACTATAGAGGGCACTAATACTCTCAGGAAGAACAACAGCAACTTTCTTTTTTTTTAAAAAAAAACTAACAAAAGAAGAGTGCTCTGCAAGACAAGCTGGCACTTGCCAGTTGCCAATATGGAGCCAGCAGAATTCCCTAGGGACCGTCACCTTAATCACAAAATAATGCCTCTGTATTTAAAGGATCAAGTGAGGAGAAAGACCCTCTAAGCTAAAACTCTGAAGACGGGTTCTTGCTCACAAAATCAACGCTTGAGTTTGGGATAAGGATAAACAATATGACCTGGTACAGTATAAGGCAGCATCCTATGAGCCAGCCAAGATGGTGAACCTCTAATAATACAAATTGTTTCCTCACCTGATTGGTCACCAGCAATGCTTACGCTTTCCTTGGATCCCTGGTTGCACAGCCCCTCTTCTTTCTCTGGCTTTATGACAATGTCAGGAAATCCTGAACCAAAGAAAAGCAAAAACAGGTAGTTCCAAAGAATTGCAATGATTATCGGTTGGATAGCTCAGTGTTTTAGATATTTGGCTGCAGAGCCAGAGGTTGGGAGTTCAGTTCCTTGGAGGGATTCAAGAGAAAACTGGGCAACCATCGGTCAGATCTGCTTTGATCTGGATTCCTGCCTTGAGCAGAAGGTTGGACTTGACAGGCCCCTTCCAGCTCCATTATTCTCTGATTTTATTGTGCATCCTAGAAGAGCCAGCCAGGGTGGCCTTGGGCAAGCTGCACTGTCCTAGAGTGTCCCCAGAAGAAAGGAATGGCAAACCACTTCTGAGTACTCTCTACCTAAAATACCCTCAAAAGGGTTGGCACGAGTCAGAATTGACTTGACCGTTCACAATTATTGTTTATTATTACCAACCTTAGACTATATTGTTTGACTGGCAGAAAAAAAATACCATTGGTTTAATAGTTCAATTGAATTTTGAAAATAATTTTGAAAATAATACACTGATTAATTTTTTATAATATACAATTTTCTAAATTGCAAACCGCATTTGAGAAGAGTCATTCTGGCTTCTCCTAACCTGCTGTCACAGGTGTACTTATATATTTTTGTGTTTTTAATTTTCCTGGGCTCATTTTCCCTCAGGTATGGCAATGTAGGTCCTTTTGATTAGCAATAAGTATAAAAGGGCGTAGGAGTCAAAGATAGCATTCTTTGCATCAGCCTTCTCCAGTTTGGTGCCTTTGACTATACAGTCTTCACCATATTATTTGCATTTCTAATTAAATTAAAGAGCCTCGCGGCGCAGTGGTTAAAACGCTGTACTGCAGCTAAAACTGTGCTCATGACCTGGGGTTCAAATCCCAGGTAGCCGGCTCAAGGTTGACTCAGCCTTCCATCCTTCCGAGGTCGGTAAAATGAGTACCCAGCTTGCATGTAGCCTGTATAATTAAATTGTAAACCGCCCGGAGAGTGCTTGTAGCGCTATGGGGCGGTATATAAGTCCGATCAATCAATCAATCAATCAATCAATCAATCAATCAACCAATCAACCAACCAATCAATCAATCAATCAAAGCTGATGGGTTGCCTTTCCCCCCCATCCAAGTTTATTGTGGGTATTTTTTTTAAATCAGTTCAGTCCTTACTGCCCCCATATGTCACCTGAGCCATTTCCAGGGGAAGTCTTGGATCCCAGCTGGTACAGACCACATGGTTCCTCTTCCTGTTCCACTTTAACCATCACGTCAGAAAATCCTGAGCAGGAGAAAAGGAAAGAAATGGGGTGAAATGGGACAAACCAACCTCCTTGGCAAAAGAAGAGAAGTTTGGGTATCAAACTTCTGCAGCAGGGGTAGCCCTCCAGATGAGCCAACAACCCTCTCCCCTGGATACACTGGCGTGGGCAATGAAGGGTTGCAAGCCCAACAGCATCTGGAAAACCAAGCGTCCTCCACCAGTGGGGTAAAGATTCGCGTTTTGATTTCCTTACCTGCACCGTCTTGTGATGTAACCGCCATGAAGTCTTCTTGCTGGATTTTTGAGGGTTTGATTTAAGGAGGTCCACCCCCTGCTTCCATCAGTACCATGAGCCCATGGGTCCTTAACCCCTGCTTGCAATACATGTGAGGGTTGCAGCAACCTTTTGTCCCTTGAATCGGGCCATGATCAAGGAGTCTGTTGCCCGTCCATGGCAGACAGCCGTGGGGAAAAGCCAAATATTTCTCTTAAAACACCGCTGAGGAACCGAGGCTTTCAGCACCCGCCTCCTTCGCCTGTTCTCCGGCTCACACTCCCAGCACAGCCTCCCTTCCCGGGGATTCCTGCCTTTTTCTTGTAAGTGGGCTCCTACAGGAGATCTGCACATCCCACCTTTTCTTTTCTTTTTTTTAACCTTCCTGACGTTTATAGACAGCTTCCACTCCGGACCCCACTTCGGAAGTGATCCCTTGGACGGGTCCACCTCTTTTCTTGCATTTCTTCCTTTCCCCACTGCCTGTCATGTGACCGAAGCCAAGCCCGACTCCTGGCAAGGCCTTCATAATCGACGGCTAGAGAGCATGGATTCGGTTAGAGGGTTGCTCGCTCCCTGCTTGGGGAAGGGAGGGCAGGATTGGGCTCCTTAAAAAGGGAGGAGAAAGCCTGGGCAAAACGAAATTAAGAATTTTGCGGGACCTGAGCAGCTCACAGATTTATTTCAGGCTGACCTTGTAAGGATTGCACAAGCAACCCTCCACATTTTTTTTAATTTAACTTATATGCCGCCCACACTACCCGAAGGTCTCCAGGCGGCTTACAACATTTAAAATACAATAAAAAGGCAAAATAATTAAAATGCAATTAAAATATATATACTCTAAAAATTGCCATCGGACCCACAGCTGATATGATTTCAATTAAAAGCCTTCTGGAACAGGAAGGCTTTGACCTGGCGCCGAAATGTCATTTTCCACCCAACAGAAGGTTTAGTAGCAACAGTTAAAGAGAGGACCTGCCTTCGGTTCTTTTTTTAAGGAGAAGGGCAGGATAGAAAGATTTTAAATAATCGAATAAACAAAATTAAGAAGAATTGTGTCTGTCTCCATTTTCAGATAAGTCGAATGAAATAAAATAATTACTAATAACCAGCAACGAACATGTCGGTTGCTTAAGACAACTATGTTTTGTTTCCAGGTGCCCATTTAACTTCTTTTAGGTATATGCACCTCAGTCAATGCAGGTGATACATTTTTAAGGAATAAACAAAGGCCATCAATCAGCTTTTAAGTCACCCAGACAAGTTTATTAAGAAACCCTTCCCGCCCAAAAGCTAGCACCTGTAGTTTATAGTGAATGGTGTGGATTCAATTTGTCTCCTTTACCGCCCCCTCAGTCGTCTTCATTTTCCTAATTTCTTTTCTGCTGAAATCTTCTGTTTTCCTCAAAATACATCTATAGGGCAGTTCTTGGGCCGAAAAGGGCTGAGCATGATCTGGAAATACACTTACATTCTTACTATGGCAAAGATATATGGATCCCAACGTCAACTAATAACATGGGAGATGTATCTTGACTTCCACCACCTGCATCCTATTTCCACATACTGTACATTTCTGGGGGCAAGGAATTATCAGCTTTGCAAAATGGTGTAGCATCTCTCTTTGCACCGCCTGGAGAAAACTCAGTCGGAGTTCTTTTCCTTGAACAGCAAAAGCAGAAAGACTTCAAACTAAAAATACTAAGACACTGCCTTCACCTTTCCACAGCTTCTCAAGTCATGACGTCCTTACAAGTACTAATTGTGCCACCAAATTATACCCAGTTTCCCTGAAAATAAGCCCCAGCATGATTTTTTTAGGATGCTCATAATCTAAGCCCTACCCCCAAAATAAGCCCCATTAAAGTGAAACCCCGCCCTCCACCATTGTGCAGCAACCAGAAAAAGATGATGTGAGTGTATTTGAATAAATGTAGACTGTTGTACATAAAGAAAATAAAACATCTCCTGAAAATAAGCCCTAATGCATTTTTGGAGCAAAAATTAATAGAAGACCCTGTCTTGTTTTCACGGAAACACAGGTATCAGATTTATACATGAGAATTGTGCCAGCATAACACAGAAGAGAGGTGAGCACTACTAAAGGGTGTTCAGTATTAACAATCTTTGTTTCTAACAATGGTGCACTCCAGCAATCACAATGACAGATAACGAGTAGCAAGGGAATGTATATGTTATTTATTTCGTACATCTAGACCGCACCATTCCTCCAAAAATAAAATAAAAACCTGAAGGTGGCTTAGTAGCTTATAAAAAGAATAAAAACAAGTTCAACCAAATTGGACTGGGAAATAATTAAAAAAACATTAATGGGGAAAGAAAAAGGGTAGGAATTTGCTGCTGCTACGTGGTAACAGAAAATATCTCAATTAAAAATACAGATTTTCAGAGGTCAGAGTTTGCCAGTTTGACCCTAGGCCTACAACTGCTTTAGCAACATGCAAGAATTTATTTTTCCAGGGCTTTTCTCGGATTAAACTTCCTCTATGGTCTTGCTTTTTTTCCAGCCTGCAACCCCAGATCTGAATCCAGAGACACTTCCCCATCCCTCGCAGGCCCGCTCTCGGCTTGTGCCTCTCCATCTGTGTGGTTTCCCCCACAATCCCTTCACAAGACCTTCTCCCCAAATTTACTGCACGCTCCCCAGACCCCTCGCCATTCGGGTGCAAGTACCTCCCGCACAGCTACCAGCCAGGGGTGGGGTTGGGTTCCTAAAGCAAAAAACGTTCTCTGTCCCTTAAGAGCTGCCATGATGAGAGATTGTAAGGATCTCTGATCGGTTACATTGAAGAAATACAGCAGGGAGTTATATAAAAAAAGAGACCAGCTTGCAAAGGTGGTCGAGAGGGGGAAAACACACACATACGCACACAGTCCTAATCCATGTGGCAATGAGCAATCTGACCCTCTAAAGTCATGGTCTAGACCAGTGGTTCTTAACGTGGAAAAAACACACATACGCACACAGTCCTAATCTATGTGGCAATGAGCAGTGTGACCCTAGTCTAAAGTCATGGTCTAGAGTCTAGAGACATAAGCAGAACGACAGGAGATGCCAATATTCCTTCTATAACCGACTTCTTCTCAAACCCTTGAAAGAACTGGCAGCTTTCTCCCTTCAGAACAAAAACTGAGCAGGGATCGGCTTCCTTTGGCAGCAGTTGCTGCCATAGGGTTTTTAAACAGGAGCAGAAAAATCTCCTTCCTCCTATTTGAACGGCTTATTCTAAACTTCCTTCCTTTAACAGTCCTGAAGGAAGGGCATCTATGGCTCTTAGCCTGATTTGACAGGAATATTAACATATCCCTTCCTCAAAAGTAGAGACACAGAAGTTAATGCATCAAGTAGTCACTCTTACTAGGTTCGAATTGATTCCTTTCAGAATCTGACCAAGTAGCCTTGAAACAGTACAGAGCTGGTGAACATAACATGTGTTATGCGCTACGATGATCCAATGCAGGAGACAGTGCTGGCTTAGAAATTAATCAACACCATACAGTCAGTCACTAAGACTTCAGAAAAACAACTCATTTCAGGAAGCAAAACTTCAGCTTACTAAGCATGTTAACACCTTGATTTAAAATATCTATATGTCACCTTTCTATCCAAGACGGCTTACATTATTAAAAGAAGCAATATTAAAAAGAAGTCTCTCTCTCTCTCTCTCCTGCAGTCATACGGATTTATGCAGAGTGGTCTAAATCACAACCAACAAAGGACCTTCCTTCCCTTGGTGAGGTTTCAGAATACACCTTCCTCACTTCCATGTCCAGTCAACCCATAACTTACTTGTTTTATTCACAACCCAGTACCCAGAATCCTGCTCATGATTCAACTTGCCCATATGACTTCAATGGTGTGGAACAGGTCTTCAAATAGTTATAAATTTAAGAAGTTGGTGTGAGCATTTACTACTGCACACAAGGCATGTGACCCAATACGCAACAGCATATCTTTATGCTGAATTCTTGTATGGTCACCAGACTTCAAATTTGACATTTAGAGTGGTGGGCTTGCGCTAGCACAATTTCAGCTGGATTGTGACCTCCGGAATATAAGAAGTTACGTGAGTATAGAAAATGGATGGAATTTCTTTAATGTTTCTTCCTGTTGTTTCTTCCTTTTTAATACATTTACATTATTCATATTTCCTGTATTTTGTATGTTAACAGAAAACGTAAAAAGAACTTCATTGGTATTGTGATTTGTCTGTCACTGGATGACATACATGTGTTGGGTTGCATACAGTACATGGTACATTTTTGGTATTTTTCATGGAATGGTGGATTTATGAAATCTTTTGTTGTGTCTGCCTGCTTATAGGATGTCTTAATTTGAACACTATTTCTTCCCTGCATGGACATGCTAGTGGGTCTCAAAATCTGAAGTGGAAAGCAAAGCACTTCCCACAGTCCTGGCATCTGTGTGGTTTTTCTCCTGTGTGGAGTCTCTGGTGGGTAATTTTTCAAAGAAAATGCGACATTTAATCTGTGCACATCATATTCAGAACCAAAAATTAGAAATAGAAAACAAAAATGTTGTGGTACCTTAAAGCAAAACCATATGTCATTAAAAGAGGGGATGGATTAACAAGAAGGATATTGGTTTAGGAGGGTAGTCCTATTATACACTGTTCAGTGTTACATATTGAAGTACAGATGTTACAATATTTTTATTTTCTAATTTTTTTTGTTTTGTCTGAATATCTAATAGATAAAAAATTGTGAACTGAAAGGAAAATGATTCCTGATGTGCTGCAATTTGTAGAGTCTCTCCCCTGTGAAAGTTATGTGAGGCATCACAAGGTATGACCTCCAAGCAAAATATCAGACTGACATCTGTAGGGTTTCTGTCCTGTGTGAACTTTCTGGTGTCTGACAACGTCTGCTTTCCGGGGAAAACATTTTCCACATTCCTGGCATTCATAGGATTTCTCCCTCGTGTGGATTCTCTGGTGCTTCACAAGGACTACTTTCTGAGCAAAACACTTTCCACATTCTTCACATTTGTATGGTTTCTCTCCTGTGTGGATTCTCTGATGGATCACAAAATGTGCCTTTTGTGCAAAACATTTTGCACACTCCTGGCACTTGAATGGTTTCTCTCCTGTATGGATTGTCTGATGTCTCACTAGTTGTGACTTCTGAACAAAACATTTTCCACACTCCTTGCATTTGTATGGTTTCTCTCCTGTGTGGATTGCCTGATGTGTCACTAGTTGTGAGTTCTGAGCAAAACATTTCCCACACTGCTCGCACTTGTACGGTTTCTCTCCCGTGTGGATTCTCTGGTGGTTCAAAAGGACTACTTTCTGAGCAAAACATTTCCCACACTCCTGGCAGCCAAATGGTGTTTCTCCTCTATGGACTTTCTGATGTCTTACTAGTTGTGACTTCTGAACAAAACATTTTTCACACTGCTTGCACTTGTACGGTTTTTCTCTTGTGTGGACTTTTTTATGACACACAAGCTGTAAATTAGAAAGAAAACATTTCTCACACTCCTGGCATTTGTATGGTTTTTCACCTGTGTGGGTTCTCTCATGCTTCCGAAGATTGCAAATCTCAGCAAAACATTTCTCACACTCCTGGCATTTGTATGGCTTTTCTCCTGTGTGAACCCTAAGGTGCCTTGCTAAGCGTGAATTGAAAGGAAAACCTTTCCCACACTCCTGGCATTTGTATGGTTTCTCTCCTGTGTGGAATGTCTGAGGTCTCATATTTCTGGAATGTTGTACACATTTTTCATGCTCTTGGTGTTCATGTGGTTTCTCTCCTGTTGGCAGACCCTGGTGATTCACAACGTTTACATCCTGAAGAAAACATTTCCCAGAGACTTCACATTTAAAATGTTTCTTTCCATGGGAAATATTGCAACCTGTAAGTGCCATCCTTTGGACAAAGCATTTCTCAGCCACAGTGTATTTGTGGGATTTCTCTGTGGGATGATGTTCCTCCCCTCCATTGGTTTGCTGATGTTTGGCAAGATCCAATTCAATGCAGGCCTTTGTTTCTCTCCAATTATCTGTGAATAAGAAGGAGAAGCAGAAAATAAATTCAATCCTGGTATTAAGAAATAACCTCAAGAAGAAAAAAAAGATGCAATAAATTATGAGGACGCAGTGGGGAAAATGACAATGAGACATGGCACACCTTTCTCCTTTTACTTCTTCTTGCTGCCTTTTAGCTCTAAAAGCACTTTGTAACTTTTATCCCTGTCTCATCTTTTGGATAATTTTGAATTGGTTTCACGTGTGCATGAGATTTGGAAGAGGGACAAAAAAATAATCTAGCTTGGTTGAAGGCAGCATCTGAATCCTGGCTCTTCAGATAAATGGATGGCTCACTCACCTGCCAGCTCAGCGGTAATGCTTTCACTTCACTTTCCTCAGAGCCATATTTATTGATTGATTGACTGATTGATTGATTCATTGATTGGTTGATTGATTGATTGATTTTTATGCCACCTATCTGGACCAACAGTCCACTCTAGGTGGCTTCCAATATAAAATCAGAAAGTAAAAACACTGTCTAAACCAAAGCGACTACAATAAAATAAAATTAGAAAAAGTAAGGAAAAGTCAAGAATAGGCTGGAGGGAAGGCCTGGATAAACAACCATGTTTTTAATTGGGTTTTAAAGATGCCCAGTGTAAGGGCTGCGCGAACCTCTGGAGGGAGATTGTTCCAGAGGCAAGGAGCCACCGCCGAGAAGGCCCGGTTTTGTGTCTTCTCCTTCCGGGCCTTTCTCGGCGTCAGGCTCCTCAGCCTCACCTCCTGGCTCGCGCGGGTGATCCGGGTAGCCATGAAGATCCAGGACACATGGTTTCTCTTCCTTCACTGTCACCTCAGAAAATACGGAATCACAGAAAAGAGACAAAACAAGGTAGTGGGCAGGGAGGCAGTCATAGAATTGGCTGCAGGAATGGTGGAGTCACAAAATCCTAGACGTGGAGGGATCCCAAAGGTCATCCAGCTCAACCCCTTCCCAATGCAAAGGGCTCCCTCACCTGACTGCTCACCAGCAACACTTGCACTTCCTTGACGCCCCTGGTTAAAGAGCCCCTCTTCCTCCTCCGGTTTTATGACAAGGTTAGGAACTCCTGCGTGGAAGGAGGGAAGTGACAACAGGTGGCCATCAATGAACAAGATGTTTCGTCACCTGGCGGGTGACAGGAATCATAAAACAATGGCATCACAGAGCCTTGGAATGTCCCAAAGTTCATGTCCCCCCCCCTCTGGCAATGCAGGTACATGAACCTCACCTGGCCGGTCTGCAGCGATGCTGGTCCTTTCCTCGGCTCGCGGACTGTCCTGCTGCTCTTCCTCCTCTAGCTTTACAACAATTTCGGGAAACTCTGAATCAAAGGGAAATGGCAAGAAAAGGAGCTTAAGATGGCCACAGTCCTTTGTGAACTGAAGAGCTTTAAGGACCACAGAATCCTAGAACTGTAGAGTTAGAAGGGACCCGATCCGGCCAGGCCCCGGTGGGAAAACGATGCGAACCGCTCCCCTCACCTGCTTGGTCCCAGGAAACTCTTGCACTTTCTACGGATTCCTGTTTGCACGTCTGCTCTTCCTCCTCTGGCTTTACGACAACATCAAGAAATCCTGAATTGAAAGGAAAGAGGCAAGAAGAAATGGTCAGCAAGGGTGCCATATTTCATTCGTTCATTCACTGGGTGCAAGCATCAATCAATCGTAGAATTGCAGAGCAGGGAGAGGCCAGAAAGATCAATAAATCCAGTCCCTCTACCGGATGAACATTTATCCCACCTGACTGGCGAAGAGCAGCATCTCTGCTTTCCTCCGATCCCTGGTTGCAAAACCCTTCTTCCTTCTCTGACTTTATGGCAATGTCCAGAAATCCTATAGGAAATTAAAAAGGCAAGAAAAGATAGTCAACAGGATTGAAATGAATTCATCAATTAATTGCCTGGGAGCGACAAACACTTGAAAATTTGGTCACGCTGGCTTTGGCTGATGGGAACGGTAGTTCGAAACATCTGGAAGGCAACAGAAATGTAACCCTCAATTTAACCATTCAGCTATTTAAAAGATGAATTATTTTTAATTTAAGTCCTCCTGATCAAAGTACATCCCCTACCTGTATACTCCCGAAAATTGCAGATAGCAAATACTGTATATTCCGGGAAAAAATCATTGGCAGGAGTCTACAGTCTACACAGACTGGCTCAGGGGAAGAGTTGTTTAATGCTGGATGAGTGTTATAATGCTATACTGATATGTTTTTGTGTTTTTAAATGGTGTTAATTCTGTGTTGTTTTAATGTGACAACTTATTTAATGCTGTCCTATGTTATATTTTTGAAATGTCTACTGTGAGCTACCTTGTGTCCTGCAAGGAAGAGAAATAGGGGAATCCTGGGTTACAGGAAAGAGGCAATAAGACCTGGTCAACAATGATTCAAGATTTCCTCCCTGAATGCAGATATCATAACATTATGGTGTCACACAACTGCAGAGCTAGAAGAGACCTGAGAGCAATCTTGCTCAAGCACCTCTCAATGCAGTTGAACCACTCATCTGCCATGCTTGGACCTTCCTCAGATTGCTGGCTGTAACACCCCTGTTCCTCTTCTGCCTTTACAATGATGTTGGGGAAATTCTGTATTGAGGAAAACAGAAGAGGTGCCTAGCAGCGCCGATCTATTTTTTTCCCCATTAGACGGGTAAAGCAAGCAACCTTTGAAAATGCCGGCTTGAACTGATGGGACAGCTACGACAGACTTCTGGAGGTTACTTGACTAAAACCTTCAGATCTGACACGCAGAACTAGGTTCAAAAGGCAGATACTTTTAATTGAAGAATCCTGAGTCCAGGAATTGCTCCTGAACCCCTGTACCAAATGACATCCACAATTCTTCCCCGGCCACTCCTGTTTATCCCTCACCCTTCACAAACTTTTTTCATTTCAGCAAGATAATTCAGGGCAGATTTCAGCCAACTTCTTGTTGCTGTTTTTTAGACATTGAGAGTTAGGGACGCTTACCGGTAGATCAGCAACTGCCAAGAGCTCTAATCCGGACTGCCTTTCCGCTGAGATCAGTGTAATAATGGTACAGGAAGGACTGGCAACACTCAGCATGAAAACCACATTCTATGCTGTCTTCCACAAAGAAGTGCTTTTGAATCCTTGGGCTGCTAGGCCTCCCAGACTCAGCACTTATCCAGAGCCCCCATCCACAGAGAAAATTTTGGAAATGTGACATAACTCCAGTGCCAAAAGGGGGAGGTTTTCCTACCACCATTTTCTGCTACCCTGTGTATGCTTCCGCTAGGAAGAAGGAACACCCCCTCAGTCCCTATGATTCCTGGGAATTACCACAGTTGCTTCAAAGGAAGGGAAGCCTCGCTATCAATTAGTGTCTATAAAGGGAATATCTCACTAAACTATCCTTCATGCGGGTTCTAATCCCATTCATAGGCACTATAATTTAATACCACTTTTAAAAATATGTCAGGATTTATTTTATGATTACACAAATCTTAATTCCTGTTGATCATTTATTGGAATTTTGTTAAAGTATTTATCTCCTTTTTGAATAGCTGCCTGCACACACACATATGCTTGGAGAGAAGGATTAGACAAAAAATGGTCACTAGGTCAGATACAGAAGAAATACAGACTGCGATGATTAATTACAGGAGGCATAATGCAGGTAAAATAATGAAAGTGATCTTTGACAAAGCTATGTTGGTGGTCCTGGCACTAGGAATACATTGCTAATAACAGAGTAGAAGCTCCACAAGACAGTACTGCAACAGGAGCGCTTTGAAAATGCAAGTAGCTATATCAGAATTTATTTATTTATTTATTTAATGTATATCCCACCTATCTAGTCAATTAAGACCACTCTAGGCGGCTTACAACAAAATATAACAATATAATTAAAAACTATTTTATATAAGGGGAAAAACTTTGGACAAGATGGGATAGACACTAGGAAAAGGAGAGAGGGGGAAATCAGGAATTGGCTGAGGGGAAGGCCTGCCGAAACATCAGTGTTTTTAGTTGTTTTTTAAAAATATCCAGTAAGGGAGCTGCGCGAATATCAGGGGGGAAGTTATTCCAGAGGCGAGGCAAATGTTATGCATGATCTGTTTCTTCTGCAAAAATCTAAGTTAATAGCTCCCGGTAGCCCATCCTTCACCTGAGCTGGTCCTTGAGAAGGTTCCCGATTCACTCTCATCCCAACCGCATGGCTTTTCCTCTTCTTCCAGCTTGACTGTCACATTAAGAAACCCTGATCAGGAGAAAAGGGTGAGGAAATGGAATGAAGAGGGAGAGATTGACCTCCAAGCCGCACCCCCCAGATGTTGCTTTTTAACCATTTTTTTTTGTGCAAAAGTGGTGGCTCTCCAGACGCTGTTAGACTGCAGTGTCTTCCCTCAGCCCTCCCCATCACTGATGATGGTGGCAAGTGAAGACCTCTCCAGTCTAACAAGATATGGAAGACCACACCTTCTTCACTCCTGCTCTAGAGTTAAGTACAAATAGGTAATTCATATCCTTTCTCTTTCAGTGTTCTCTCACCTATGTTGTGCTGCGATATATTCTCCATTTTCTCCAAGATGGGGTGATCCAGAAAGAAGGTGTCCTCATCAAACCAGGATATCAGCCCAGGTTTTATAAACAGAAGTCTTGTTCAAGAGGATGGCCACCTGATGACCATGTCGATCATTACGTTGTCACTTTGGAGACAGAGCAAAGAATAGCAGTTACATCACAGAAGACCTCCGGAAAAGGCTGAGAGTCTGTGACCTGAAATGAACAACAAGAAAGTGGGACTGAGGATTCTTTGTCTTCCTCAAGGACAAGAGACATCGGTAGGGGAAAACCAAACCCCAAAGAGAACACATGTTAGTTGGGAACTTTTCAGTTGTATCATGTCCACTAAAGAACAATTTCAGTTTTAGAACCACTTAACTTCAGAACAAATTCATTGCAATCTCTTGCAGGCAAATAAGGGGTGCCATTAACTGGACATGTTCCACTTCCATACAGTATTTAGAAAGTAATAGAAAGAACTGGGAGCAACTGATGTTGAGGGCAGAGGAGGAGTGCCATTAACTGGATGTGTTCCACTTCCATATTTAGAAAGTAATAGAAGGAACAGGGAGCAACTGATGTTGAGGGCAGAGGAGGAAATCCCCTCACCTCTTCCTTCCATAAACTGTTAGAAGACAGACAGGGAACCTGTGGCCTTTAAAAATAAAGGACTACATCTCCCATCATCCTCATCTTATGCTACTGGGCTGGAGTTGAGGGGACTGGGAATACAACACCTGTGTGGCTACAGGTGCTCCAGCCTTGCTTGATCAGACAAACTGTATATGTTTCTTGTAGAATTACATACAAGGAACATCCTACAGTTTTATTCTCTCAAACCGAACCCTGATTCCTGCATGATTTCCAGGAGAACTGTGGGGGGAAAGCTGCATGGCATGAGGAAGAATATCAAACCCTTCCTTGTGGCTTCAGCTCTCGTTCTAAATTTGGTCCCAACGCTTCTGTCCCAACATTTTATTTGATGGAATCACCCTTAGCATGCAGCGGCCAAGGGGGAAAAGGAAGAATAGCTCGAAATGCCATCCTCTCAGGCTGTGTATCCTCCTCCCAACATCTCGCCTCTGCTCCCTACCTCTGGGTGTCTTTTGCAGAAGCCCAGGCAGGAGCTGCTGAATCAAGAGGAGAAGGGCGGGAAAGCCAAAAGAATATGCAGAAGGGGCATTGTGGGCAGCCTAGCTTCTCTCCAAATCCCCTGAAAAAGCGGGTGTGGGTGGGTGGGTGGATCGTCTTCTCTACTGCAACCCTAACCCTCCCCGCCTCTCTCTTTCTCTCCCCACCAGATCACCTCTCCTCCCCCTGCTTCCCTTCCCCTCCACAGCCCCCCTTCCCTGTCTTCCTCGTCTCCTCGCTGGATCCTGCTTTCTGAGCTCAGGCCCTGCCCCAAGGGCGCCCCCCCCCTTCCTGACCTCCCTCGACAGAAGCCGGTTGCTGCCGCAAAAGGACAGGCGCCGCTGGACATGAAGCCGCCCCCCGTTCGCCGGCTCGCCGCTCCGGGTTTGCGCTTGGGACCGAGCACGCTTCCTACTTCCAATCACGTGACTTCGTTCTCCACCTCCCGTCACGTGACAGCAGCCTATTTCCCCCGCAAGGCAAGGGGAGCTGCCACCCTTCGAAGTCTGAGCTCATGGAGACAAGACAGCGTCCTTTTTCTTTGGCTGTTTTTGGGGAGTGCCGGCGAGTAGCAGCTGTCGAAAAGCCCGATCTTGCCCGGGAGAGAAAGCTGCACCCTTTCTTTCTTTCTCCCCCACCCCCGACCGAAAGGGTTCCCTCTTGCTATGGGGCTGGAGAGCCTTGCCTTCAATGGTACTTAACCTTGGTTACTCAGGTGTTTTTTTGAACTGCAACTTTTCTTTGGCTGTTTTTGGGGAGTGCCGGCGAGTAGCAGCTGTCGAAAAGCCCGATCTTGCCCGGGAGAGAAAGCTGCACCCTTTCTTTCTTTCTCCCCCACCCCCGACCGAAAGGGTTCCCTCTTGCTATGGGGCTGGAGAGCCTTGCCTTCAATGGTACTTAACCTTGGTTACTCAGGTGTTTTTTTGAACTGCAACTCCCAGAAACGGAGCCTTGCCTTCAATGGTTCTTAGCCTTGGTTACTCAGGTGTTTTTTTTGAACTGCAACTCCCAGAAACCCCAGCCAGCACAGCAGGTGGTGAAGGCTTCTGGGAGTTGCAGTCCAAAAACACCCGAGTAACCCAAGGTTAAGAATCACATGTAGAGTTCTGCTCCCTTATTTATTTAACTTATATGCCGCCCACTAGAGTTCTGCTCCCTTATTTATTTATTTAACTTATATGCCGGCCACGCTACCCAAAGGTCTCTGGGCAGCTTACAATAATTAAACTTCAATTAAAATACAATAAAAGATAAAATGATTAAAATACAAACCTTGGTGGGTTTGGCAAGGGCCCCCCCGAAAGGCGGGTCCCTGACCCGAGGGGTTTGCAGCTAAAATGGGATGGGATGGCCATCGCTGAATGACGGGTGGTAGGAGGTTTTAAGTATCAAAGTCAAACCAGAGCGTCTTCAGTTGAATCAAGCAGCGGATGATGGGAGAGACGCTTCCCTGCTTCTCAGAGTAGAACCTACACCAGAGCTGGCCCTGCCAAGGGACACAGTGATGCAACCACCTCATGACTGCACACAGGGAGAGGCTACAGTCCAGTGGCTGATGTATCAATAATCGCTGTTCCACTACAAAAAGTATTCTTCTAGCAATGGAGAACGGCTCAGATCAAGGACCACAGGTGCCCAGGGAATCCTGCACACCCTTCTCTTTATTCCTGGGAATTTGATAGTGCTATCCATGTTCCCGGGGCGCAGAATCACTGCCCCGCAGAGGGAACTGCATCACTCCATAGTTACTGCATGCTTCCTGACAGATTTGGTTCTCTGCAGCACTTTGAATGCCCGGACAGGTGGGGGGGGGAAGCTGAAGTTTCCTCCTACAGGACCCCGACAACACCCACCACACTGTTCAAATATGTAGCAGCCCAGCATGCTATGCATGGGCCCATTAACAACACACTTGGTCACATGAGCTGCTAGATGGCTCAATGGTTTGGGAGTTCAGTTCTCCCACTGGGCCTCCTTGACGGGGGCTGGATTCAGTAATCTATAAGGTCCCTTCCAGTTTTGCAGTTCTAAGATTATTACAGAGATGATAATGATCCTCTTTAGAAGAGAAAAACATCTCTAGGAAAACTAATTTGTTTGTTCACTTGTTCTTAAGCAACCAATCAACAGCTCCCTTTCTTTCCCACCGCTAGGTGCTTGACCGTCTTCCCTCTGGGCTACTTTTATCAGTTAGTTCTTGACATGCATACTGTATATACTCTGCCCTACGTTTTGCTGTGTAACCACACAAAACTCAACAGACATGAGGAATGCTAAAATAAAACTTATCATTTACTGTCTGTTCTTTCCCTTGATACACCAGTTTGTTTTCAAGACTGACTTCTGCTGACTTCAATTTTCATCTAATTCTTCACACTAGGCTCCAATTTAATACTGCCATCAAATGCTTATTTTCTGTGCCATTTATGGGGTTGGGAAGGTTAAAAGAGTCACATTTGTCTCAGGTCTGATGAGCTACAGCTGAAAATGAGTGTGGTAAATATAGTGCATAAATTGGTGCTGTTATTGAACAAGTTCAGCCTGGTTTCAAATCCTTGCTCAGCCTAAGCAGTTCACTAAGTGGTTTTGTGTGAATTGGCAGCCCTTGGCCTACATTACCTCAGAGACTACTGTGAAAATGAAAGATGCTAGTATTCATTCATGAATGCCCCTTGAGTTAACAAGACAAGGAGAAGATAATGGTAGTAAAGAAAAGGAAAATACTTTTTGGAGTCAAGAACAACAGAAAAATCATTCTTTAATACAAGTACGTATCTGAACACCATGCCAAACATCCCTCCATCATGGTCAGACACAAAAGAGGAAAGAGAGGTTAATTTAATTTAGAAACTACCCATGGAATATGCCAAAATCAAAAAAACTTCTTTTGACATAATGTCTGTTTAAATTGATAGTAGGACCATGAGATTCGTACCTAGTTTCATTTATCCACTGCCTGGAAATATTAAATAACAAACAAACAAACAAACACACAGTGTATCATGAGAACTGGCCACTAGATGGTGATACAGACCATGTTAAGTACTTTTTTTGCATTTTCAGAGCATGGATAAGTGAATCAGTGGATACTGATCCTGTGGATAAGGGGATCCTACTGTATATAGCAGACCTGGGCAAAGTGCGGCCCAAGGGCCACATACGGCCCACGAGCCACTCCTGTCCGGCCCGCGGACATTTTTGAACATCAAAACCATTTATAGCTTTTTGTTTAAAATTGATCAGTCGCTTATCTTTAACATACCACAAAAAGCCTCTTTAGTATTTGTGAAGATTAACAAGTTTAAAATAAAAACAATCATAACATCACTGTTTCATTTTATTTTTAAGTAAAGTTGGTTCGGCCCACGAACACAGTTCAGATTTTGTGCCCCCCATAGAAATTAATTGCCCACCGATGGTATATAGCATGTATATATTCGTGCTTTTCTGCCTCTGTGGGGATGATGGTGCGTTGAGCTGATCTCCTGCGGATACTGTGGTCCTACTTGTGTTGTTTCCCACCATACCAGCATTTCCATGTTTTCTCTCCAGGGTGGACTCTCTTTTGCTACAAAGATGGGGATTCCAGAAAAAATATTTTCCACATTCCAAACATGTGCTGTTTTTCTTTTGTTTGGAGATTTTCATGCATCTGAAGAGCTGATATCTTAGTAAAACATTTCTCACATGCTTGGCAATTGTATGGTTTCTCTCATGTGTGGACTTGTCTATGCCTCACAAGCTGTGTATCATAAGTAAAACATTTCCCACACTCCTGACACCTGAATGGTTTTTCTCCTGTATGGACTCTGTGATGAATCACAATTTGTGTCTTCCAAGCAAAACATTTCCCACACTCCTCACATTTGTATGGTTTCTCTCCTGTGTGGACTCTACTGTGCCGCACAAGGTGCGACTTCTCTACAAAACATTTTCCACATTCCAGGCATTTATATGGCTTTTCTCCTCTGTGGACTTTTTCATGTGTCCGAAGGCTTGATACTTGAGTAAAACATTTCTCACAAGCCTGGCATTTGTATGGCTTCTCCCCCGTGTGGCTTCTTTTATGCCTCACAAGCTGGTTATTGTAAGCAAAACATTTCCCACACTCTGGACACTTGAAGGGCGTCTCTCCTGTGTGGACTCTGCAATGGGCCACAAGTTCTGTGTTCCAAGAAAAACATTTGCCACACTTCTCACATTTGAAGGGTTTCTCTCCTGTGTGGACTCTTTTATGCCTCACAAACTGTGTATTGTAAGCGAAAGATTTTCCACAGTCCTCACATTTGTATGGTTTCTCTCCCGTGTGGACTCTTTTATGCCTCACAAGGTGTGTATTGTAAGCAAAACCTTTCCCACACTCCGGGCATTTGTATGGTTTCTCCCCAGTGTGGACTCTCTTATGCTGTACAAGGTGTGAATTCTCTACAAAAGATTTTCCACATTCCGGGCATTTATATGGCTTTTCTCCTCTGTGAACTTTTTCATGTGTCCGAAGGCTTGATAACTGAGTAAAGCATTTCTCACATGCTTGACATTTGTACGGTTTCTCTCCTGTGTGGACTCTTTTATGCCTCACAAGATTTGCATTGACAGCAAAATACTTCCCACACTCCTGACACTTGAATGGTGTCTCTCCTGTATCTCCTGTATGGCCTCTGAAATGAACCATGAGTTGTTGTTTCCAAGCAAAACATTTTCCACACTCCTGGCATTTGTATGGTTCCTCACCTGTGTGGACTCTTTTATGCCTCACAAGCTGGGTTCTATGAACAAAACAGGTATCACACTCCTGACATCTGAATAGTTTCTCTCCTGTATGAACTCTTTTATGCCTCAAAAGTTGTGTTCTCTGAATAAAAGATTTCCCACACTGCTGGCATTTATACGGTCTCTCCCCTGTGTGGAGTCTCCCATGGTATTCAAAGTTTGCTTTCTGAGAAAAGTATTTCCCACACTGAAGGCATTTATAAGGTTTCTCCCCTGTATGAGCTCTGAGGTGTATCACCAAATGTAAATTTTGAGTGAAACATTTCCCACAGTGTTCACATTTGTGTGGTTTTTCTCCTGAGTGAATTCTCTTATGGATCACAAAGACTGAACTGGAAGCAAAACATTTCCCACAGTAATTGCATTTATATGGTTTCTCACCTGAATGGATCCTCTTATGCCTGATGTAGTGGTACCTGTGCGTAAAACATTTCCCACACTCCTGGCATTTGTACGCCTTCTCACCTACATGGACTTTTTTATGTGTGACAAGCTGGTAACTATGAGTAAAACATTTCTCACATGCAAGGCATTTGTACAGTTTTTCTCCTGTGTGAACCCTCTGATGGCTTGCTAAGTGTGAATTGCAAACAAAATATTTTCCACAGTCCTGGCATTTGTATGGTTTTTTCCTTGTGTGAACTGCCTGATGTCTCACAGGGTTAGGACTCTGAGCACTATTTTCATGCTCTTGGCATTCATGTGCTTTTCCTCCTGAAGCAAGACTATGGTGTGCGTCGCTAGGAAAACATTCTCTAGGAACTTCATATATACTGTAGACACTATTACGATCTGCCAGCATCATCTGTTGGACAAAACACTTCCCAGGCACAGTGTATTTGTGGGAGTTCTCTGTGCGACTATGTTCCTCAGCTCCATTGGTTTGCTGGTGTTTGGCAAGATCCAATTCAGGGTAAATCTTCGTTTCTCTCCAGTTATCTGACAATAAGAAAGAGAAGCAGAAAATAGTTATGAAAACCTAAAAGGGGAGGGGAAATAGCGTGATGCGCCCTTTTTTTCTTTATATATTCCTGTTGCCAGGAAGGTGAATGCCTTATTATTCTGTGGAGCAATTATAAGAAGCATTTCTCAAGCATTCAGATTTTAGCACAGCTTCGTCTCTATGAATTTTGTTTTTCTTTTCTTTAGTTTTTTGGTAGCTTTATTGTGTGCTGTAGTCATGACAGCAAAATGAAAACTCACACAACGTCAGAATAAAATCCATGGGAACAAACAACTACCTTTGAGTAGAGGTGCCTTCATGCTTTGTTTTCTGACTTGACACAGGGAGTGGGAGTGCAATGAAAATCTAAGAGTTGGAGGTGACATGGCTGAGCCAGCATCAGAAACCGTGTTTTACTTAGGATCACAGCTCCTTGAGGGCACATACGGCTTAATTATGAAGAATGTTCAAGACAGGGAAGGTCAAAGACAGTTGTCAACTATATATGATGCCCCGCTTCTCATTTCCACATGGGTCACCCCAATCTTGCAAAGCAGTATGAGTGACCCCATCTTCTGGTACATGTCAAATTGGGGAGGATTTCTGCCTGTGCCTTGTTTACATATACAGTTGTGCCCCACTTTACGATTCCCCGCATTACGATGAATCCACTTCACGATGACGTTTAACAATGGTCTAAATGGGGAATTTTCGGTTTGCAATGATTGGTTCCCTGCTTCGGGAACCGATTCTTCACATTATGACAATCTTTACAGCTGATTGTCGGGTTTTCAAAATGGCCACCGAGTGATTAAAATGGCTCCCTGCTGTGTTTAGGGACAGA